TCACGGACATTCTCCCTGGATAAACTCGGTCAGATGAGTGTCAATATTGACTGTCCAGGACAAAAATATTAATTTGCTAAACACACACTTGTCTAGATAACTAGGGTGGTTTCAGAAAAATACGGTTGGTGCAGAATGTTCCATTAAAACACCAGACGAACGGTGGTATGTTAAGCAGAACGCTATAATTTCCGGAATTTCATTAAAGATATGATGACACATGTTATATAGCCATAATTCAGAGTGAACCGGTGAACTGAATCAGGCGCACTTCATCACGAGTCATAATGACTCCCCCTCGCCCACGCTGGGCGTAGTACCTATAGTCAGAGTTAGTCACCCTGGATGGTGAACACGACAACCATCAAACAACCATCAGAAATCACTAAATGTTGAAACAATTCAAAAAGACAGTTTAAGCATTAATAGTTTTGATTATCTGTTAGTGAAGTATGGATATGGATGGTACATGCTGAAATGTTGACAAATCTTTTTGCTATAGTGCCATTAGTTCAGTAGGTTTGCTGTAGGCTGCTCGATCTACTTTAGGATTGTCTCCTAGAGGTGGTCAAGCATGAACAACTCACATCGCCTGTAGTCACTGATTTCCGCACCAGCAACCTAGCAGATAAACAAGACATTACTATAGTGGGCTCTGATCAACAGCTGAATATTGCGGGGCGCGTGACATTAAATCTAATGGTTGATTGCATGAACAACTGACATCGTCAACAGTATCTGTACAGTGAGTGAGTGAGTGAGTGGGTTTTACGCCGCACTCAGCAATATTCAAGCTATATTGGCGGCGGTCTGTAAATAATCGAGTCTGGACCAGACAATCCATGATCAACAGCATGAGCATCAATCTACGCAATTGGGATACGATGACATGTGTCAACCAAGTCAGCGAGCCTGACCACCCGATACCGTTAGTCGTCTCTTACGACAAGCACGGGTTCCTGAAGATCAATATCCTAACCCGGAACTTCACGGGTCCATATCTGTACAGTACCTTGTCTTGCAATAAATACTAGCTTTACTTAGAAAACCACGATAAAAAGCACAATCGACTTACTGTGAAATTCCTATCAAAAAGCAAAACAAAACAGAGGGCAGAAGGACAAAACTCACTGGGAGTGTCAAGTGTTCTCAGCAAGGTGCGGCCTTTAAACGGGAGAGCAGGCAATGTCCCCTGACATCTATAGCCATGTCTATATCTGGCGGGTATGGTGCTTGTAACAATACCACGACATCGGTTGATCAGAATCAAATCTGACAACCAGTTATTTTGTTTATTTATTGAGTCCAAAATAACCTTGTGAGACTTGAATACAAATACAATGACACATTTGATTGACTTATACATGAAACATACATCTGGTACATGCCAGGTTTATGATCAATTATATCAAGTCTGTCAAACGTCTCCTTGCTACTTTATTTAATTCACGTGATTTGGCGTTCTATAAATATTTGCTTGCCAAATTATCAATGTTAGTTCCACGCAAGCAGCTACATGTATGAGTTGTGTATTCGCTAACCATTTACCCAAACATAATACTCGATTCCCGAGCCTCGGACCCCGTCAGTAAACAAATCATAGCATTGTTTCTACGTTCCTACAAACAATACGTTTACGTTGCCTCTTTGCTAAGCTCCGCGCTCCGCCTGTACCAATACACTGTCACGAGTTTTGAGATGTCACGAAAGAGTTACGTTTAGTGGGATGTAATTAACCAGGGCATGTGAACAATCGACACAAAAGAAATTATAGATTTGTTTGCAGGATGTTTGTCTTCAGAAACATGAAATTGTCTCGGTTGTATCCTGTAAAACTGATGATTTAATTGTGTCCGTGTAGGCATGCATCAATCGATGGCGGTTCCTCCGACTTAACGACCTGACTGTACGAGGGTCGATCAAAAAAAGTACGTAGCCTAACTATATTCTCGATGTCCAATGTTTGAAAAGCTTCTATTTTATTTTGTAGGAATCGGAGCAAAGCCATATCCAAAATTTCACATGTGTGGGTAATGTGGTTAACCAGATATTTGTCATCACAACACATTGAGGTATAATATTTCTAACAAAATTGCAGAAAATGAAAGACGATTAGTCTTTTGGTACCTCTTGGGTAATGGTATGCCCTCAGATAATGTCATATAAAATATGTTCAGTATAGTATTGGATGACTTCCCGTCATGATCAACGATTTGGATTGCCTGATTTATTTTTTTAAGAATACCACCATTTTAATCTTTCAAACCCCTGCGTGTTGATATTCAAGCTGGCACTGTTTACAATATATTGTGAGCTGACACTTGAGTGACCATTCAGTATTTAGTTTGAACCCTTGGCACCATGCAAAAGTGAAAACATTAGAATAAGCTATGCCCTTATGATTACGTCAACTGAAAGGGGGATGGGTAGTGTCTCCAAAACAAGCTCTTTCAGTCAACATGAAGTGGGGAGTCACTTTAACAAGCGATTGTAATTTCAAATTGCTTTTTTATGAACTTGTCTAAGTGTGATTCTAGTGAACTATAATCAATCTCAAACACACAAAATATTTCTTGCATATTTTGTTTCCTGAAGTTTTTTATGTGTTTATTGTAGATTTTGCGTTTTTTGAGGGAACCAAGATAAAAGGTGTAACAAAATGGGTATCGTGAGACTGGAACATGGCAAAATCAAATTGCTTGAGCTTGACAGATAATGTGTAGAAAAATAAAACATAAAAATAACTGCATTTGTATCGTTTTCTTGGTGATTCTACATACTTTTTGATAGCCCATCGTATGAGCATAGTTGAGTCGATAAAACAAGTGATGACCTTGATAAACGAAAAAAGCTTACATTGGACATGCTTACTTAGAGTTTACGTGTACACAATATACTTTGGGTTTTTTCTTTTTGTTTGATGTTTAATAAGCAATAACCAAGCTAAATGAAACGGTAAGTATATTGGAGTCTGGACCAGACAATCCAGTGACTGACATCATGAGTATTGATCTATGCAGTTAGGATACGATGACATGCGTCAGCCAAGTGGGTATATTGACCGAAATGTACATTGACTCTGAAACATTTAGGTACATGTATTCCAGTTCCATCACTATAAACAATGTCCTTGTGTTTGAAACCTCACAGTTAAATACCGTCACGTCCTCAAACAAAAAGGACTTAACAACATGGTACTTGTTGTTACCGTGCCTCTCACGCGGAACTGAGGGGATTAAAGCAAGACTGGGAGTGTCGTAGTCAGTAAGGTGTGTCTGTGTATTCATGGGAAACTGCGGAACGGATGCAAGTTGTATGGAACATTCCCAAGCCCCGACTCCTGCAGCCAGCCATACGCAATCACATCCTATAGTTTGCACTTCCTATAGCCATAGCGTCTCCCACTTGCGTAGGATGTCATTCCTGATTTTAAAACGTACAGGGAAGGCCCATTGATACCTAATGATCATTATTTCTGTCAACGGGTTTTCAAGCCTGCTTCGCATAAGTTGCAATTAAGTGGATTTCAGTCATTGTTTAGATAAGAGAACTAGAGATGCAACGTATGAAACGCAGTGGGGTTTACGGGCTATTTAGCATGCTGGAGGCTGGCAGAGTGAATCGAACCCGGGGCTTTGACGTGACGAGCGAACACTTTAACCATTAGGCTACCCAACAGTCCTGGAGGCTGGCAGAGGTCAGCGTGAGGTGGCCAATACGGTCAACGTTTCACGGTTTTTGGTTACAATGGTTAGCAGATTAAGGATCAGGTTCCGGCAAACCCCAAATGTTGCCGATCGACCCCGTTCATGATGTCCACAACACTGATAGACTAATCCCAAACCAGGCAAACTCGGGTTGAAACGGCGTTTCAAAATTGCTGGAAACCTTGAGCAGGGTACGTGAGTACGCGTCACCGGTTAGACTATTATAAATCGACCGTGCTCTCCTCCAGCATTACAACTTCCTTAGAGAGTCCAGCAACATACATGCCCAGACCACTACTCCCTTCCCTTATCTCTTACAGTGCTGGACGATTTAAGCTTTCACCTAGTATTCCCTCGTATATTTGAGGGGCGATAGGGTGGCCTTGAGGTTAAAGTGTTTGCTCGTCACGCTGAAGTTCCTGGTTCGATTCCCTATATGGGTATAATGTGTAAAGCCCATTTCTGGTGTCCGCCGCCATGATATTGCTGGAATATTGCTAAAGCGGCGTAAAACTCACTTACTCGTATATTTAATGAAACATGCATACATTTTTGCCTGTTGAGTGTTTACAATTTTAAACAAATCCGTACACTAAATGAGGATATCTTAGTACAACACAACCTCAACAGTAAGTTATCTTTGATTCACAGTTTCGCTGCCTAAGGGGACAAAAAGTACATTTATCAGTTTTCATTCTCTACGCTGCTTCATCAGTGAGTTCATGCAAAAGTCGCCAAATGTTTTCAATTAGATCGCACAAAGAGAGAGATCTAACTTTTAAAGTCCATAAGATCTCGGCGATGCAATCCGTGTACATATAGATGGAATAGATAGAAGACAGTGAGATCACACGGAAGAGATCAACATTCCAGGAACAGTGATAATACATAGAAGTGAGAAAATGTATTGAAGTCCTTCAGGTCACATACAAAAACATGATTATAGACCTTATATTACTTACAGTGAAAATATATGTAAGTAATATATTTATTGAGGTATGTGAGATGACCCTGGTAACTATGTCTTAACTCAGTCAAAATACACAATAAGTGTTATACACAATGATGTCATGATCACTGTCACGTATAAATGACATAAATATCGAAAAGAATCACAACATTCATTAACGAATGGCTCGACCGTTGTTAATTTCAGTGTTAAACATCGAACTGTCAAGTTCGAGACATCGAGTGTATGTATATCTTAAAGTCCCCGCACGTACGTCAGTAGGGTTCGCACAATCCAACCTTAGTCTTTAGACGTATCATTACATACATATATAATATACTTACTCGTGAGAAGATGTGTCCCCAGTACCCACCCTGACTGGGCGTGTCAGGGTCGGTCATCATCCTCATCCATCGGGGACTCTCCAGATCCGCATCCGAATCCATTCCGGGAGGTTTCTGGCAGTCCGTCTCAGTATGCAATGTGTGGCGAGACCCCATCAAATTCACTCGGGGTAGGAAATCCATTTGTGACGCAACAAAATATATATATTATCAGAGTCTTATAAAATTATAGTCTATTGAAATCTTTTCAACATCAGTGAAAGGAGTAATTTCCACAGCTACCAAGCTTCCTAAGTGACATATAGATCTGTGATAGTTCCAACGTCATAACATGTTTTCTTCAAACTCTTGTCATATATTCCTTTTTTACAGAAAAAGACAACATGACTTGGCCAGAATGTTCATCGTAGTTAAAACCTCTCCGAGTCTAGTTGTCGGCGCTGTGATTGAGTCATTAATGAATGCGGGGGGCGTCCTTTGAGCTGAATGTTTCAACCAGAGGACACAAAGTTAGAAACAAAAGCGTGTCACTGCGCATGTCCGGAGGCATGGATCTAAGATGGTGCACTACCTAAGGTCTGGAGGGGTGATCGCTAGATTAAAATACCGGCTGTCTTACAACGGCTGAGGGTAAATATATTCAGCCTATCTGTCAATCTGGCCCCGCCTTGCCGGACTGAAGGCTGAGAGTTGATACACGGAAACCCGGTTGTTGGGGATGAGGCTGAAGCTAAAACCATCACCTAGCACATGTCTGTTGACACGGAATTAAAGAACACAGGTTGATCTGCTTGAGGAAGTATCGATGTCAATGTTACTCTTCCGTCTTCTTTCACCTTCAGCGGCTTTCAGACTTTGTGCGTAGAATCAGTTTTTAAGTTCATTTTTGGAGACATTAAAAACATATTTAGACTGGCGTTACCGTCAAGTGTTGAAAATGTTTTTGAAATGTTTGTATAAATGTTCTGTGAAACAGAAATCAAATCAATTGTTTCTATCGAAACATATTCTGTTTTTATGAAATTGTGTATTAAAGTTTTCTTAACGGGTTCTGTGTCCACTAAAACCTCCTCAGATATAGACTCTTCCTACTCCCTGTCACAACGTGTTGTATGGCGAAGCTGTTAAAGGCTAACCAATGTTGACAATGTTTCATTTCTCTTTCTAAACAATTCCCCGATTTGTCAAAAATTCCCCTCGTGGATAATCCAAGCATCCTACATACTTAAACAACATTACATTGCACTTCTATGCGTCTTTTCGATTCGATCCAACTAATTTACCGTATGAGGCAGATACGTTGCTGTTATTCTGTTCTATATTTCCTCAGTTATCACAGCATGGAATCATTGCGGATTTCGGATTGCTGGTAAAAATGATATAGCTTAAATGCAGATCTGTTACTTTCAGAAGGATTCGAGGAAAATGCATTTAATTTGATTCTTCACTTTCTCGTAAACTGTATTCATGTACGTAGAGACTTGCATGTATACCATATCCACATTAACGTGAAGGTTCGGTTAGAAATGTGTCATAAAGTCAGATATAATTTAACCTGCAATAAAATCCACCAATTAACAAGTCATCTCCTTGGTATCAGTTGTACCTCTATCTATTAACACCTTAATTGTGGGCAAGGTGGATGATTGTGTAGTTGATGTTGCGTACGCGTTACCCCGGGCAACGGGTAGGTAAGACTCGACATGTCCCCTGGTGGGCGTCACTGCGCCCCAGGTGTATTACACCTATCTCGGGCTATAGATAACAAAGCCGGGCCAGGAACATGTTTGACTAACAAACATTGATAGTTTACGTAGTATATACACATGTGTTTATGTCATGATCAGTTTAATTGTGGTATTGAACTGTTTTACTGCTACAGTGACATTTAGGAACATTGGTTACCTGGTAACGCGACGACTAGGGCTGATGACCTTCAATGACCATCCCAAATACACGTGTTCCATTTCATCCAAAAGCTCTGTTCCGTAAGGAGTGGTTGAGGGAAGGAAACAGAATTATGTTTTTAAGAATAAACGTTTTTGTTTGGGGACACAACCAGTGAGTTATGGAGATTTGTACGACCTTGCTTCATAGACCGGTCCAGATTGTACTATGTTAAACAGTTATCTTATCGAGGGTGAAAGTTTGGGGTAGACAGAATAGACATGAGGTGCAAAAGACGGGGGATTTTAAAAACAATTGACTAGGTCATTTTGCCCTCTGAATGCAGGCCTAATGCAGGTCAGATGGTTTGAAATAAATATATATTATATCCATGTTATGAACATATTAAACGCGCACGTGTGTTGCACAATAGATATGACCTATATATAATTATGACATAATCATCGTAATGTTGTGGTGAAGGAGATGATGGTGACAGTGATGATGATGACGGCGATGATGATGAGTGAATGAGTGAGTTTAGTTTTACTCCGCACTCACCAATATTCCAGCTATTTGGCGGCGGTGTGTGAATAATCCAGTCTGGACCAGACAATACATTGATCAACAGCATGAGCATCTATCTACGGCAATTGAGATACGTTAACATGTGCCAACCAAGTCAGCGAGCCTGACCATCTGATCCCGTTAGTTGCCTTTTTTACGACAAGCATGGGTTATTGAAAATCAATTCTAACCCCGATCTTCTCGGATATGATTATGATGATGATGATGATGATGATGATGATGGCAGTGTTTCAGTTCGAGGCGACTCCAAAAGTGATGCAGGAATAATATGTGTTTATTGAAAACCACGGGTATGCGTGTGGTGTAAGACAAGGCTCACAATCAGAGATTTGAACCCATGATTATTACACCCTCTAGTCGGAGGAGGAGAATGGCGGTTTGGATACAGATGCCAGAGACAACAGAGAGGTGTTCTGACTGTGCCCGACCCAGGCAACACTGTATTGATTGTTTGTCTTCAATATTTGCACGGCGATTAGCCCCTGTTACACAAAACCAATTTGTTGACAGAACATTGTTATGAGTGTAAGCCCCGCCACTGAGAGAGGTACACACGCAATCTCCGTTTTCCTGTTTAGCTGCCAATGTTATTGTTCACAAGAAATATAGGAAGTGCATAACTACACAGAATCGGTGACCTCTTCTTTCAAGTAATCCCAAAACATATATAACAGGGTGGATTTGTCAAACATCTACTTAGAGAATCCGAGCTTTTGTCGAGGTCTTGTTGCATTCAACACTAAAATCTGTGGGACATATATTTTCTACTTTTGTAAATGGTACTGTCTGTAGTAATCCTGGACATTATAGAAAAGAATTTTTAAAAATTCCGTATAAATGTAATAAATGTATAAATGAAATCGTGCACAATAGGTGACGCCATGGAGTATGTATTTCAACATTGAAGTTGTATGACGTTATTAGGCTTCATCCGATCAAATTGCATCAACAATCGCTACGTATACATTGCACATTTGTTAGTACCGCACAGGAGAGCTATTAGACACAGTATTCCTTCCCTTATGTGTGAACCCGTGAACATCCGGGTTAGAATAGGTCTTCAGAAACCCATGGTTGTTCTAAGGGGTGACAAACGGGATTGGGTGGTCAGGCTCGTTGACTTGTTTGACAGATAGCATCGTATCCCAATTGTGTAGATCGATGCTCATGGTGTTGATCACTGTATTGTCTGGTCCAGATTCGATTATTTACGAACACCGTCATATAACTGGGATATGGCTAAGTGCGGCGTTAAACAACAACCAAACCAAACTCTACACTACACAACGCGGCGCTAAACACTCCACTTTACGAAGCTCCGCTCCGACAAGCTACGCTACACAACTCTACGCGAGCACTCCACTCCACTCCGCGTCTCACCGCACCGCAACACACCACGCCTCACACCGCACCGCATCGCAACACATCACATGTCACGACACACCGCACCGCACCGCAACACACCACGCCTCACACCGCACTGCAGCGGATCTCATAGCAACACAACACACCTCACACCGCACCGCACCGCACCGCACCGCACCGCACCGCACCGCACCGCACCGCACCACACCGAACCGCACCGCACTGCACATGGCACCACCGCATGGCACTGCACTGCACTGCACTGCACCGCACCGCACCGCACTGCACCGCATGGCACCGCACCGCACCGCACCGCACCGCACCGCAACACACCACGCCTCACACCGCACTGCAGCGGATCTCATCGCAACACAACACACCTCACACCGCACCGCACCGCACAGCACCGCACCGCATTGCACCGCACCGCACCGCACAGCACCGCACCGCACCGCATTGCACCGCACCGCACCGCACCGCACCGCAAGACACCACACCTCACACCGCACCGCATCGTATAGCAACACACCACACCTCACACTGCAACACACCGCAACACACCTCACAACACACCTCACACTACACCACACATCACACCGCACCACACAACACACCACTCCACACACCACACCACACCACACCACACCACACCACACCACACCTCATACCACACCACACCTCACACCTCACACCTCACACCACACCTCACACCTCACACCTCACGACACACTTCACACTTCACCTCACACCACACCTCAAACCACACACACACCATACCACACCTCACACTACACCACACCACACCGCACCTCACACAACATCTTATGACACACTTCACACCTCACACCACACCTCACACCACACCTCACACACCACACCACACCACACCACACCACACCACCTCACCACTCACCTCACCTCACCTCACCTCACCTCACCTCACCTCACACTCACCTCACACCACACCTCACCACACCTCACACCACACACACCACACAACACAACACACACCTCACAACACACACCTCACACCTCATCACACGACACCTGACACTACACCACACCTCACCACACCTCACACCACACCTCACACCACACATCACACCACACCACACCACACCACACCACACCACACCACACCACACCACACCACACCACACCACACCGCACCTCACACCACACCTAACACCACACCTCACACCACACTTCACACCACACCTCACACCGCACCACACCACACCACACCACATCTCTGCTTTACA